TCGACCCCATACAAACCGCACTCTTATTTGAATGGATGATACGATCCCATGGGAGCATGTACTCTATTGGCTTGAGAGTGATCACCAGAATGTACATATCTTTATTTTTCGAAAACTTAAGGAAAAGTATATAGTGAGACCATTTATCTTTGGTACAAGATAGTCACGATTAATCTTGACCATTGTAATTGAAATTGGGTGGCTGCATTTATTGCATTGATCAAGCCCAAACTTTAAAAGAAATTTTATCGGACTTTATGACACATCCAAGGTATCAGATTTCACATTAGATGTTTACAAGAAGTTGTGACCTGTTTACATAAAAAGTAAATGAACTCATTATATACAATCCCAAAACTTAAACATTTCCAATTTCTAAGTCTGTATAGTATACACTTGTGGGAGAATGCCCGTGCTACGTAAGTTAAAAATACTACTTAGATTTAGATTTATTCAATTTGAAATCTTGAGCTCCACTTTGAGAATCACGGAATGAATATTTTCAAAAAATAAAAAAATGAAAATTGAGTTCCTAAAGACTTAGATTAGATTTGATAATTCAAAAATTAGACTGTTATTCTATAATCTAAGGACAATAATATTTTGGTGTTCATGAATTTGTTTTATTTTAATTTTGGATTTTGATAGCTAGGTTGAGGGGCCTAAATATCCAAAATCGTGGGATCCTAAAAAAAGCATGGTGTTACTTTTAACTGAGGGAGTGAATAGACAATATGCTCCAGTGGGAGCATATAATATTTTGACACTCTTAAAAGTCAAAGCTCTAACAAAATGGATTAACCGGCAGATATGGATTTGCATACGTAATATTGTAGTCAATATCTAGGTGTTATATACATCTATAAAAATAAACATATCGACGAGTACAATTTACATGAGGTTGCAGCTTTAGATATAATGCAAATATGTACGATCAAAACCTTGCTGGAAAAATGGAATTTTGATGTCAGATATCCTTATGATGACCTAAAAATATAGGGAATTTTTGATGTCAGATATCCGGACCTAAAAATGTATAGTGCGACTATAGAGCCGAGGCTCTAAACAATCAAAGTAAAGTGCTCCTTCAAGTAGCGTCGAGAAATGTAATTTAATCCTGAAAATATTTGTGATGGTGTTAAAATATTTTCATCACTAATTATAAAATTTAAAATTGAAAACATAATGTAGATCAAGCGGATCTATGAAAAGTTGAAAATTGACGGTTAAAAACTGCATTTATAAGATGCATTATTTCTAAAATTTGAAATCTATTTTTTTTTTTCTCATGTCCATGCATGTTGATGTCAAGATGATTAATTTGACGATAGTTGGGCATCAAAACAACCTCTTTTATTGAAGTTTTTAAGGTGGGATCTAATTTGATTGTTTAGAGCCTAGGATCTATATAAACCTTTTCCAAAAATATATAGGCAAGGTTTCTTTGAGTCTCTCGCCCCCCACCTATTTAAATGAGTCCTCTCTTAAAAATATATTTTAAAAATGGATTTTGGATCTAAAAGTCTAAAGATTAAATATCTACACCAGGATTACTACAAATCAGAAAAGAAAAAGTAAATTTCAAAAATAAAAATAACAAATTTTAATATAGTATTAACATCCTAGTTTTAAAGCTGGGTGGGGCCTGTTTGTTTACATCCATAGACAAGATGATATTGAGTGTGTCACAGGACGAAATTGAAGAAGTGCATCCCTTGACACACCAATGGCTTTTCTCAAATATGTTTTATACATGTGTTTTTGAAATTCAAAATTTAAAAAATGGTACACATACATGGATTAGTATATACTTAAAAATGTTTAGCTGGGATAACATGTCACAAGATACACCATTTTTCAGGGGTTGAAATCTATTTACAATCTATCATTATAAAGGTCAATATAATCAATTCCATGGCTTTCTAGTGCTCAAACTTCTTCATTTTTTGGGTGAATCAATGGGTACATTTGGCCCTACCCATTTATTAAGAAGCTAACAAATATATTGCGTGAGCAATCATACAAACTTTGGAAAAGAAACACTTGCAACATCAGATAAAATAAAAGCTGTTACAAAATATGGGGAATGAGCACGCCACACAGTTGTTTCATAAACAAAAATCACTTATTGGCCAAAGAGTTGGCGACCGTATTAACTTCTCTATAAGCATGATGGGTTATCCTTTGATGGTCAACAAAAGATACAAGCATAGACATACAATTAGCCAAAATTATGCTTGGTCTTTAAGGGGGCCTACTACGTTGATTCATAGAATCAACGGTAAATTTGAAGGCACTTTCAATGCCAAGAAGTACACAATTTAACTCCCTGGTTAGAAAAATACCTTTTCCAAGTGCAAAAAATTCATTTGTGTTATTTGAAATAAAACCCAACAGGGCTGTAAATGCTGCAATAAACCTCAAAATTTCACTTCTGGAGAGTACAACAACTTTTAAATATCAAAACAATTGTGTTCCATAAATCAAGTATTGTCATAATCGTCGCCTTAATGGATGGATCAACGAGACAGCCCTACTAGAGCATGAAACGTCCTTCATCCATTCAATGGACGGCAAGATCTAACGGACTATGATTTTATTTCGTAGTCAGCTCGACTGTAGTACCTTGTAGGATTAGCAACCCCTTATTTTCCTAGTCCACTCGAGCACCTCATCTTCTTCGTCTACACCTAAATGTGATGCCAACGTGGAACTACCACGATGACGTGGCACACGTCGAATAAAGGGATAGGCCCTCTGGGCCATAACGTGGGTAGTGGGGTGCTAGGGTTAGAGGCACAAAAGATAACAAACAAAGTTTGAATCTCATCAGTCCTCATATAATGGGCTAATTCCACATATGTCCCTGAAATATTTAAAAAAACAATCTAAAGGTTAGTAATAATTAAAGATTGACACCTGAAAAAAGGCGCTTATTTGTGTAATGAGATAAGGATTTTTATATACTTATAGCACAATTTTCAGTCATGGAATAACATGGGCTACTTGTTTCTCCTCAAGCTGATGTTAATGGTTCACTATGTCCACAACAGATGAATGATATTATTTGTAGCATACAAAAATTATTTTATCATGGTGTGTTTTTTCTCATAAAATAGAAGAAAAATACAGGATTGCACTATAGTTTACAAATATTTGCCACTCATCACCTCAAAACCTAGTCATCATGTTGTAGTTTCCATTCTCACCACTAATACCACCCTCATTAATACCTTAGAAAATGCTAATTCTTAATCTATTTGAAAAAAATGAGTAGGGTCTGTTTTGCCCATTGGTTAAGATTTGACATATCCAATACATCATTCTAAGTTCAAATCCTAGCTTATGTCTATTATATAAGGAAACATATACAATAAGCTTATTTGCTTTTGGAATAAGGATATCACAATAGTAGGCATGAAATTTAGTGGTTGAAAATATACCATAATTAGACATAAAGTCCTAGATTAAGGATATCACAATTGTAAGCATGAAATTGTCGAGAATGTACCATAATTAGACATAAAGTCCTGGAATAAGGATATCACAATTGTAGGCATGAAATTTAGTGGTCGAGAATGTATTATAGTTAGACTTAAAGTCCAAAACAAAATTTTTCAAATGTTGTGATGTACTTCAATATGTCAAATTTCACATCCAATAGCTAAGAACAATTGTGACATTATTGTACCTAAAATGAATGGTCATATAGTATACAATCCCATTTTATAAAATATAAATGTTTATGACCCCAATTTCTTGTTTGCGCAATCTTTAGAAGAACTACTCCTTGGCGACAAAAGATGGTCCATATAATTTTAATTTAATGTACATAAACGAGACGTATCATATTTGCGATGGAAATTAAGTCAAAAGAAATGATTGAGAAATTATATGTCATCATCATCATCATACCCTTTTTTCAATTAATTAGAGTCGGCTGCACGAATCCTGCTTTGTCATTCTACTCTATTTAAAGCTACACCCTCAGTGAGGCCATAAATTCCCATATTTTTTCGAATTACTTTCAACCATATCTTTTTGGGCTTACCTCTTAAAACAATCTTACACCTCCTTTTCAATCATTCCATTTGAACAAGCTCATACTTACTAACATGTGCTGTAGGTCGACACCACCAGTGTGTTGCTTATGGGGAACGCCTTAACAAGTTTCAAGATTTATGATGAATTTTGATAAAATTTTATATTCGCTGTTTACCTAATACGACCCAGCTTTTTTACCCAACCGACCCCTTTTACCCAGCCCAGCCCAGCCCTTTTACCCGGGCATAAAACATGTCAAGGGAAATTACATATCAATTTTACTTAAAATTTCACAAAAATGAGTACTTAAGAAGTTGAGAATAGCCCCATTTTCCATTGTGGTCACATAATACAAAGTGAAAATGGGGTTAAAAGGGCGTCCATGAGACTGATCAATTTGTATGGGTAGCTCAAATTATCGCCACCCGCCAAAACCCAAAAGGAAAAAAATCGAAAAGAAAAAAAAAAGACAAAAATATATAAATTTTTTTTATGGAGCCTTCCCTTCCCTCCACATCTATCCGAACTTAATTCCCTCCTTTCTTCCCTCGTTTTCTGCTCTCCCTTCACCCTTTCCTAACCCCGTCCTTCCTCCCCCTCACTCAGATCCCATTTCCCTCCCTTTCTCTCTCTAAAAACCCCATCTTTCTCTCTCTCAAAACCCTACATTTTCTCTCTCTAAAAACCCACTTCTATCACACCCTCGCTCCCCAGCTCTCCTCCTTTTCCCTGGTTCAATGACTCCAATCCTGGGCAAGGAGTGAACAAGATCGGTCTAGAGAGTGAAACAGTGAGTTTTGAGAGCAAGAGGCTTTAGTGAGAGGGTGGTTAGAAAGAGGTTAGAGGGAGAAACAGGGTAGAGTGGGGGTCATAGAGGGAGAGGGGGAGAGAGTTTAGGCACAGCGGTTAGAGAGAGAGAGAGAGAGAGAGAGAGAGAGAGAGAGAGAGAGAGAGAGAGAGAGAGAGAGAGAGAGAGAGAGAGAGAGAGAGAGTAGTAGTAGTAGGTAGGACGGTAGGTACGGTAGGTAACGGTACGGTACGGTACGGTACGGTACGGTACGGTACGTACGGTACGGTAACCGGTACG